CTTCTTTGCTGTCCACTTAACCGAGCTGGGGGTGTGCGTGGGTGCCTTTCTCTCATCAGAGCTGTCTAAACTGCTGTAATGATAAAACCACAGCAGCAACAATAGCAATATAATTAACAAAGTCATTGTGCCAAAGCTCTTCAGCACTGCCTTGTGGGATCCTTGTCTCAGCTAGTGGGTTATCTGTCTCTACATCTCTGTTGTCCCTGGCCTCTCTGCTGGACACTATTTGAGGCAGTGCTAGCCAGTGCGTAGATGAAGGGGTGATGCTTGTTTCCATTTGGTAATGAATTTTCCTCTCTGGTGTCCATGGAGATCTGGTCCTGTAGCACTGCTTGTGGGCATAAGCTGTCACTTAATTTTCTAAGGAGGAAAGGGGGAACAGATCTAGGGAGTAGATGAGCTTTGGCATGCAAAGGCATGTAAGGAGTTGTGCTTCCCAAGCTTGGTGTGTCTCTTCAAAACTGGGATGTTACACAAATACCCAGTGTAAATTTGGTGTAAGGATTACCTGGAACTGTAAAAACAACTGTGCATTCCCCCTCCCTGGCATCCCAAAGGCCTCTTCTGAACAAAACCTGGGGAACCTTGGGTGGCCGTGGTGGAAAGATGTGGGCCAAGGCAGGTGCTATGGCTTGTGGCCTGCCCCCAAGAGCAGAAGAGGGGTGGTCGGTGGCCTCTGTCACCCTGCTTAGCTAAGGGAAGCCTGGGGAGAAGCAACTTGGCCATTTGCTCCTGTCAGTGGGTGGCATGAGAGGAGACAATATCTTTTGCATGGTCCTTCTAGCTGAGAAGTGGAAGTCAGCTGCGTGTGCTAAAATTATACCTGTGGTGTAAAATATATGGTGAGAGGTCAGGGATGATGGTGACTAATACTTTGGAGGCAGACATGAATGGGGAACCAGAATCAAAGTGGTGGCTGAAATTTGGCCTGTTTGTTTGCTTCTGGTTTATTTCAATTATTTGATTAGGAAGGTTTGAACCAAGAAACACTGTGGGAAGCAAAAATCTGCTTTAAGAGTTCATTCTGGGAGCAGTAATTGAGCTTTAAATGTTTATGGCAGAAACTGGAGTTGTACTAGTGAATGCATTATAGACTCTTCCCAGTGGTAAGCCCAGCATGATGGAGACCCTGCTCTGCAAATAGCCCCATTGTAGAGGACAAGGGGAAGAAGGGGAGGAAACCAAGTAGGCTTTAGTGAAAATTACTTATTTATTTTGCCCATTATAGTGTTCTTACTCCTACCTAGGCTAATGCTTTTGGCATGGAGCTGCAGGACCTGGGGAGGAGAGGGCTCTTCTAACTAAAACCGGCACCTGGATAACCTGCAGGTCTGCTTTCACACCACTTGCAATTGTTTGCCTTGAAACAATACTGGCTCTGCAGGAGAAGCCAGTGAGGAGTGAAAGACACTTGTCTGCCCTTGCCATTTGTAGCTCTTGCTGCTAGTCTTTACCGATCCTGTGTGAGACACCAGGAGGTACAGATGCATTTTTTCTTTTACTGTTGATGCAAGTAGGATTGTTTTCTCTGCAGGCAGTGCACAAACGAGTCTGTGGTCCGGTGCTCAGTAGCAGGCACAGGCCTTGGTGCAGTGAATAAAAAGATCTTATTGCCCAGCCCAGCCCAGCCCTAGGTCCGCTACGGTAAGAACATGCCACCTGTACCTATTAATTAATGTGCAGAAAATAACGCAGCTGGGTCTGAAGCCCTGCTGTCTTCAAGGCTCAGGGCATCAGTTACTCGAGCTTGAGAACCTGCCTTGTGCTGTGTCTTTCTCAACCCCCCACCTCGGGGAGGCAGCTGGGGTGGGTGCGCAGGACACGCTGCGCCGAGGAGGACTACAGGTGCGACCATCCCTGCCCCGTGCTGAGAGGCAGGACGAGCTGCATCTTCAAACCGGAGAGCCCTTCCCGAGTGCTGTATTTGCCCTCTTCACTCTGGCCGAGCAGGGCAGCGGCTGCGCTTGCTGACGCGGAGCCGCCCGGCTCCCGGCCGGCGGGGGGGGGGCGGGCGGAGGGGGTCTCTCACCGCCGCTCTCACGACGGAGCCGCGGCCCGCCCGGGACGCACCGGCGCTCGGGGCGGCTCCGGAGCTCCGGCCGCCTCGACTCCGCCTCGGCCCCGCACCCCGGCGGGCGGGGGGGAACTGAAGGGGGGCGGCGCCGGCTGGCGGGGAGAGGGCGCCGGCTGCGGCGGCGGGCACGGGGCTGCCACCCCGCGGGCAGGCACGGCGGCGGATGGCGGCAAGGTCAGTGGTCGCCCGGTCCCCGCCGGCGGGGCTCCTCTCGGCCACCCCCGAGGGGGGCGGCGGGCGATGTTCGTGTGCGGTAGATGCAGCGGCGGGGCCGCCTTTCCCTCCTCCCATTCGCGGCGCGGCGGCGGGGAGCGGGGCCGGCGGGCGCGGATGCCCCCTGCCACGCCTCCCTCCCGGGCGAGGGCGAGCCGAGGGTTTCGTAACCGCCTGCCCGGCCTGGCCCCGCCGCACACGGCGGGTGCGGGCAGAGCGAGCAGCCTCCGCCGGGCGGAGCAGCAGCAGCAGCAGCAGCAGCAGCCGCTCCCCGGCTCCGCCGCCGCTCGGTCCCCCCGCGGGGAGGGCGAAGCCAAGGCGCGGTGCGAGGTGCAGGTGATCCGCTGAAACGTGCGCGGGGCTGCCCGGTGCCCGCCGCCTCCCGCAGGGTGTCGGGGCGGGAAGGTTACTTTGAAAGCCGGCGGGGTTGCGCCTGCACCGATCGCATCGGCGTGCTTCGGAGAGGAGGAGGGTTCTCCTTGGGCTTCGCGAGCAAGTAAACCCAGATAACTTACAGACGGGGTGTTTTTTGGTGGGTGTGTGGTGCATCCTTTGGTTCTGTTGGAGGCTCGGTGTTGGTTCTGGGTTGGCGTTTTCTCTTTTTTTTTTTTATTGATTCCCCCTCCCTCCCTTCTGCTGGCAGTTAGCGGAGAAGGTCCGCGGTAACTCGGCGCTGTCACTAAGTGCCAGGCATCTCGCTGGGTTTTTAGGGAATAGCTTTATTTTGTCTTTTAACCAGAGAAGAGGGGAGCGAAGCCCCTGCCCCGGTAGCAGTCCCGCTCTACGGAGTTGCAGCCTTCAGAGTTTGCTACGGTGTTGGTTAGGTGCTGCCACCCGGCTGAGGCTGAGCTACCGAAATATAATTTCGGAACCCTGCCGCCATCCATCACCCGGGTGCTGGGTTCCGACATGCCGTCCGGCGGAGGGAATTCTTGGACGCGGCTCTCTGCCTCCTCTGAGCTGTGGATACGCCTAGGATGTGTTGCTGTTAGGTGGGGAGGCGCGAAGGGGTGTGTTTGTGTAATAGATGTCTTTGAGAGGTTAAAAAAAAAAGAAAGAAAAGGAAAGCAAACAGGCTTTTGATAAGGCTCTGTTAATTGAACAATAAACACAGTAATTCTGTTGAACTGCAAATACAGTTCTTGTTTCCTCGCTGAAACTCTTTTCCTTCTCACCGATGTGATCCATGGTTGGTTTGTTTGTTTTTATAGTATGTTTCAGAGATCTTTCTTGATACGGAGTTGCTTATGGTGTAAGTCTGGTTGAGGCCATTGGAAAATACTTGTAACCTTCCAAGCTGTGATGTACGCTAAGCTCCTGTTTTCAGCCTTTCTGTACCCAGGCTGGGGTCACAGGCTTTCTTGAAATGCCTACTGAGTCTGAACTAATGCAGTGCTCATGGGATGATAATAATAGCAATTTAGGAAAAAGCCTTCTGCTGGGAACGCTGTTCTTGGCTATGTAATGGTGTGCAATTGGATCTCAGCTTCTTGTTAAATGCATGAAAGGCAAAAGGTAAAAGTAGCCCTGGCAGAGGAGTACAGAGCTGGGACAGCCTGGTGCTGTTGCTGCCCATGGCACTGGGGTGTCCATAACCTTTGGGACATGGCTCTGTGCAAAATTTTCCCCATGCACGTGCTGTTGTTGGCAGTGTAGTTGAAAAGCCCAAACCTCTGAAACCTGTGAGGTCTGTTGGAGAGTTTGGACAACTTGGTAGGCACGTGAAGGTGAAGATGTTTGTTTTCTATTGTTTGTCCTGGGAGAGGAAAGTTGGTTGGGCCACATGTGGTGGAAGTTCTATATGCACATTATGAAGTATCTTGGGAAGTACTGGGCAGCAGAATATCCAGATTAGAAATGCCAGCAGGACAATAAATACAGTGTGTTTAAATTATACATGCAAATACAATAACTCAGAATAAGCCACTCATCCAAGATACACTATGGCTTATCAGAGTGCACTGGGAATAGCAGGTAGATGCTTCTGGGTGCTGGTCACCCTTCCCCAAGTGACTCACTTGAGCCTCCAGCTTTGCCAGAATCTGTGGGTATGTTTTTGCCGGTGCCTGTTCCTGGCTCCAGTTCAGGGTTCTCACCTTGACCCCTTGATGAACTGGAGCAGGAGCCCTATCAGCCACAGTCTGACAGATGGAGGCTTCAGCACAGTCTTAACTTTAGTCATGTGTGTTGTCCTAGTGACACGAAAGAGGGATGCTCACAAGCAAGCTTGCATGCAAGGGTTTTAAACTCAGGGCTGCTTCTCTTAAGCTTTCCAGGGTGTGCAGTGCACAGCTTTTTTACTTGCATGGTGCTGAGAACAAATGCCATGTCATGTTTGGGTACAGTATGGAAGAGCTGACCTTACTTAGGACCAACACTGACAGAGCAGGAGCAGTGGTGCTTCTCTGCTGGAATTTTATGGAGCATTAGTTTGCACATGGGAACTGAAGTCTTGCTGGAAGCTAATGAAGCTTAGACTCTTAAATGCTCAAGCCGTCCTATCCAGCAGAATTTAGCTTTCCAAGTCAGTGAAATGTTTTTCAGACTGTGGCTCTAATCAGTTGACAATGCCTGGAGGATACAGGTCTAGAGGGAGGCATATGATTTAGATGATACCCTGATCAGTTGGCATAACTACCAAAGACTAGGTGATGTGTGGCGTTGACTGCACAGCTGTTGACTCTGGGATCTGGCCTAGGTGATTTTACATTGCCTTCTGCCTACCTGTATTTATCAGCCAAAGTTCTGCAGCCCTTCTGTACATCAAGTAGCAGTGATTCAGGCAAGTAGTTTCACTGGCTTGAGTGTGGTTGTTCAGCTGAGTAAATGGTGTGTGATCTGAGTTCAAGGCAGTAGATTTTGGGCATGAGTGCTGTCTTTTTGTGGAGAATGTGGGAAACTAATTCCCAGAGCCTGTGATCCTGGCATGCCTTAAATTCTCTCCTGTTCTTATGCTTTGCCTCTGTCCAGTGGGTGGGCTGGAAGTGAGATGGGAGGCTGGACTTCCCCCCCTTTCACAGTAAGCAGCTCTTCCAGAGAAATTCCGCAGCTGTTTCAGAGTCTGTCCAGAGTTGCCTGCTTGCCTTCCTGATGCTATTTTCTACACAAATATATTTGCTGCTGCTGCTGTGCTGGGCTCTGCGAAGACAGCAGAGAAGCCCTTAGAACCAATGTAACTCTGTAGTATGGTCTGTCAAACCAGGTGGCATTAGAAGAAACCCTTGCAGCCCTCCCCAGCACCAGCTACTTGTGGTGCATCTCCCCACATCCTGATCCTGGGTTGGCATGGGCTGGTCCAGTCACAGCAGAGTTGACTCCTGCCTCAAAGGCACCTCTTGGTGCCGGTGGCCAAGCGCCAGCAGTGTGGGCTGAGGGACGCTGTGGATGGTGAGAAAAGATGCTGAAATCTCTGGGATGAGATCACCTCCAGGGCTGGGGCTTGTGAAGGAGAGAGGAGGCCCAGCAGCTTCCATCCTTAGAGCTGAATAATAGTCCTTCAGCCCTCAGGGGGTACTTCACCTCTTTCAGATGCAAATGACTTTGCCCTCCCCATCTTCCTACTTCAGAAACTACCCCTTCAGAATAACCTTCAGCTGTAAATGAGTTTGTAATTTGCCCCTTCCTGCTCCAAATGCACAGAAACTGGGCAGTTACAGAGCTTAACTGCAGTTTGTGCTCTGCTGCTCGCAGGCTTGATTAAGGTGATGTTTCCTGGGACATAGTGGAATGTTGAGATGCCACTAATCAAATGCACCATAGTTTTCATCTGGTTTTATTTTATTTCGTATTTTAACTTCGTTTCCCCAGGAAACAAGTGCTGTCTGTTTCATGCCTCTTGCGTTTGGCCAGTTCCAACCAGATTGCACCAATGGTTGGCAGTCTTGAAGATCATTAATTTCCCACTTGTTTTTGTTCAGATTAGTGGCTGGCTGGGCAATCTTTGAAGCAATGCTCTCTCTGAAGAAAAAGGAGGCTGCTTTCAGCTAGTCTCCAGTCTGCCTCATAGCAGCTGCCCAGCCAGGCACTGCACATGTGGTGGTGATCAAACAGACAGCAGCTTCGTAGCCCTTGCCACCTCGCAAGGTGTGCGTAGTCCCCAGGGGAGAAGGTTTGGGCAATATCGGAGGGAGCTGCAGTGGAGGGGTAGGGGGGCAGAAGACACAGATCTCTATCAGACGGGGCCTGTTTGTTATTCCTCCTTGTGGTGCTGTTACCCTTTTATTTGTCAAGCCACTTGAGATTTAGGAAGGCTGGCAGGCTGACTGGCATGGCTTGGAGCTTCCTTTCCTTGACGTCCAGGACACCTTGGGCTGGATGGAGGTGGGTATTGGAGCAGATGGGAATGCGCAGCCTGGGCAGGACTTTTGCAGAGGTGTGTGTGTGTGTGCGCAAACTTGCACGTGTGCAATGGCAGCGTGGTTATCTGGGTGTTCACCAGCGTCATCCTGTTGACTTAAATGTTAATTTGACACTGATGAAAAGATGGCATTCAGAGCTGTACGTTTCTCTCAAAATAATTTCTGTGAGTGAAAACAGCCTCTGATCCGCACACAGCCCCTCCCCTCCCCACAGGTACATTAGGCAGGTATGTACTTGGGCAGATGCAGTGCTGTGAGATGTTTGGGATATGCTTTGTATTGTTAAGCACCTCTGTGTAGATGCAGCTGGTCTGGCATGGGTGAATTGGGTGGTTTGCCTTAGGAATCTGGGCAAAGCTAAACTAGGAAAAGCAGCCTTGCGCTCACCCAGACAGTGCCTGCGCTAGACAGCTTTTCAGTATAGCTGTGCTGGGTGCGATGGGCACATTTCTTCTAGACCTGGACTGAAGAAAAAGACCAGCATCTGCTCAGGCAGCGGCATAAGAAATAGGGTGTTGAGAAGCATACGTGGCATGCACACTGCAGTTCTTCAGCCAGTGCATGTTTTGTTACCTTCTCTGTCGCTGCTGAGTTTCAGGCAATACATGCCTGTTTGTCCTGGGGCATAGAGTGTGGCTCTTCAGAGATCGCCGGTGTCGCTCTGTAATGTCAAAATACTAAGTGTCACCCTAGAGGGCTGAGCTGAATCTCAAGCACCCGTATGCCGCTCCTTTTCAGGCAGCCTGTGATGCAGCTGGGATCAGATGCATCTGTCAAGGTGAGATGAAGGAAGGAGCTGTGTAGCTGTATAACCCCTTATGGGTTATGGAGGATGTGGAGGACTAAGCCATACCAGCAGGGCAAAGGGGGCCACTACTCCTTCTCCCCCCACACAAACTGCCTGCCAGAAGCAGGGCTGGACATCTTTGGCGTCTGAGCATAAGTCTCTGCACCACGGAGATGTGGTACTTAGTGAAGGAGAATGTGTTTGGCTTCCCTTACTTTTCCCTCTGGGCATCAACTCATACCATGGGCAGCATGGCATGGTGGATGACTGTGGTAGCTATGAATGGGCTCTGAGGCTCGGACCATACATCCTGTGCATATCCCTCCTCTGACAGCGCTGGCCACCCAAGCTTCAGTGTGAGAAATCCTGAAACAGGCAGTTGTGGGGTAAAATGCTGCTGCTGTAACATTTCTGCCTGTTCTCCGTAACTGTATAGTGCTAACGATATACATTTAATGCTGGTGTAGTGCTTTCTCTGTTAGGTTTTAAACTAAATCGAGTGGGTTGCATGCCAAAGGGGAAGGATTGCAACGCTTCCACCGCCATGACTGACTTTTCCATGGTGGAGCTTTTCTGGAAGATGTGCACTGGAGAGAGCTGGTGTGACCTGAGAGCATGGGACACTGCAGGTTCTGACTGGCTGCGGCTCACAGGCTTTGTAGGCTCTGCTCTCCATGGGGATGGGGAAAGATGGAAGTGAAGCTGGCTTTGTTAGCAACAAAAGAGTGTGTAAAGTTTGTACTGTAAAGCTGCCAGCAACCCTCAGACAAGGTAAAATTACTACTCTAGAAGAAAGGGAGTGTGTGTGTGTGAACAAATGGGGGCACACGAAGACAAATAAGACTATAAAGCATGAAGCAAGTGTGCTATTAGATGCACTGCCTCTTGCCATATCATCTGCAAATAAAACAAGTTAGGTTGTTGGCATTGCAGCTGCTTTTCCTCATGAAGGTAGCATGGTGAGCCAGGTGTGTCTGACTCTGAGAAATGTGCTGGCAATTTGCCTGAAGTCTGAGGTGGGCAGGGTAATTTACTTAAAAACTCTGACATAACAATTATCATCCAGGATGAACACATACAACCATAATGTTTGCTTGCAGTTGTATTTTTTCTATGACACGCTCTCAGGAGTTGCTCACTGGATGCATTCACCAGCAAACACAGCCTGGAGGTGATCAGCTTCTTCCTTGACCTACAGTTAACAGCAATAATTATACTTCAACAAGTTTTAATGTGGGAGGTAGGGATTCAATAGCTTGGGCAGAAGGCAGTCAGTGGGGTCATTTGAGGTCCAGGCTTTGGAGAGCTTTCCTTTTGACCTTGGGCAAAGCACATCAGCTGCTCAGTGATTCTGCTCTTTAAATCTGATCTGTTCCAATTGGTTTCAGAGCAATTGATTAATATTAGAACTGGTTTCATTCTCTGAGAGAACCCCCAGATCTCCAAATGTTAGTGCATGGAACCGAAGTTCAAATATAGCTTCCCTCTCTCCTCCCTGCTCTTTACCTCAGAGCAGGAAGAAAGTGAGCCATTCACAGCCATCTGCTGGAAGCATCAATCATGCTGGGAGCAGAGTCTGCCAGTTGTTCCATATGTTATTAATGATGAAAAGATATAAACATATGAGCTCATAATTATGTTACATTAAAACTACTTACAAAATAATGACATTAGGAGAACAATGGGGTTATGAAATCAGGCGGACAGAAGCAAGGATGTGCCAGGACTAACGTTGCATAGCTCCCCTTTGCATCTGCATTATGATGCAATCTTTAATTCTGTAATTGCATCATTTTTTCCCTTTCACAGAGTCCCTCTTTCAGTGGATGGGTAGATGGGTAATTACTGCATAATACATTTTCTCTTCCCCTCATGTACTTGCTGTGTGTGTCCCCACGTCTATTTATTTTATGCTCCACCCAAACCTTGAACTGAGCAGTGCTGCCAATGCCTTCCTGGGGGCTTTGCAGGTGGGGAAGTTCTTATTCTTGCAGCATCCCAGGTACAGGTACTGTCATCATTTTCATAGCTGAGGAATGGAGGCAAAGAGCAAATAAAGTTCAACTGATTGAAATGCCTTCAATTATGGCTGCTCAAAATGATACTTAGGGAGGAGTTTATTTCTCACTCACTCCAGAATGCCTGGCATGATGTACCAGTTCATCTGCTGAAGCACAAGGACAACTGACCTCAGCTGTAACTCTTAGCACTCTTGTAGGTTAGTCCAAGTTGTCTTAGCTTTGTACAGGGTGGAGACTGTCCTGATAGGGGTCACCTGAATTAAAACTAGTTTCAGGGATTTGCTGAGCATCTTGCAGACCGTGGAGTGGAGAAAGAGGTAATTCCTGCCTGCAGGTCCTACATCCAACTTCCTCAAGCAAGGGAGTTGTGTTTTTCTTCCTGCATTGCCTTGTTCGCTGATCTTCCTGACCTGGGTGAGGCAGCGGTCTGAGACGGCAGTTGCTTTTATCACACAGCCATGTCCTTTTCCAAAAGTGGTTCATTTCCACAGCTCAAATGATTTGCAAACGTTGAATTAGAGACAGAATTGGTGCAGGCACGTACAGGACCTGGGTGAAGGTTGTATAGGCAGTATTCATTACAGTACCTCTTAATTTTGAGTGCTCAAGTTTGAAATCTTTGTGTTAAAAATTTAACATAGCTGTGTTTAAACATAATTTTATAACTGTACAAAGGGAAAAGGTGGAGATAAAAATTAGTCCTGTCACATGAATCTGCAGTGGCCTAGGTCATCTAGAGGGTGAAGACCTTTGGGCTGTAGCATTAATTTCTAATCCATAAGAGCACTGTTTGGCTGTGGATGATGGTACTTGCCAGAGAGGGGTGGCATGTTCAGCAGGTCATCTGCTGATGTACTGGGGGTTTTGCAACCCAGACTAGGATACCCTCAGATCCAGTTTAAGGATGGAGCTTTCAGAGCTCTGGTGCTTCCCAAGTCCTCTCTGATTTGCCTGTGTCTGTCCTGCTCTTCCCTCTCTGGCAGCTTAGTTTCTCATCCCCTTGAACTCGTTCTTCCCGGTTCCCCCTTCTTCCCCTCAGTTTCTGTACGTCCCTAACAAATGCCACCTGTTTCTCCCATTGCTTTCTTGTACCACTGCTCTAGCCTGTGCCCATCTTTTGTTACTACTGGTGCCACCTATAATTTTCTCATATCTAGGTGTCCTGGTAGGGTTGTGTGCAGTCTTGGTTCCAGTTTAGATCTGTAATTTTTGCTTGCTTGAAACTGCAGGTAAAGCCCAGCCCAATACCTTTGTAGGAAGCATTTTAGGGGATTCATCCTCCTTACTTTTAGTCCAGAACCATTACTGTGGGCATTCTCTGAGATCAGACAATGGATAAACAGCTGCTTCAAACCAACCCTATGAAAAAGGTTTACACCTAAAGAATGTGCTGCTTTCTGCCCCATTTCTCAGCGTGTCGTTTTATGCAGTCTTGTTTGCTCCCACCTACGTTCAACAATTAAGCCTAGGTGGATGTGTCATTTTATGGGCTTGAATATGTGATAGAAGTTACATCATTTTATAGAGTGAGGAAGACTGGCTGCTTGTGATTTTTTTTGTTTTCTGGGAATGAATAGAAACATGATAGTGCAAGCAGGAGTGTGCAGATTGAGAGGCTGGGCTTCCAGCTGAAATGCAAGTTGGTGCAGCTCAGCTGCTTCCTGGAGAAGTGATGTCTGTAAACCCAGCAAGCCATTAGATGCTTTTGGCCTGCATGTCAGTCTCCTGACCAATTTACAGTGAATTTCTTCCTACAGCTTTGTTCATAGGAGGGGTAGGCTGTTGTTATAAACCTCATGCTGCAGTAAGAGAGATTTCCCATTATGTTCAAATGAGTATAACTATTTGCCTTTTTCATGTCCTTTGTTTTTTTTTTTTTTGTTGTTGTTTCATTAAACTAGATGAGGAAAGCTGGATAATACTAGCAAAGAAAATACATTTGCCAACAAAATCTGGTCTTGGAACAGACCAGGCTGCAATGAAGCAGTTGGGGTGAGAATGATTTTAAAGTTAGATTTGTGTTCTTTGGAGTTTGTGATATAAATCATGGCCATGATACATATAAACCATGTCAAACTAGATTCATAAGATAATGACAGAACAGTGTCTTAAAAATTTCCAAGTGACTCAGTGAATTGTGCACCTTTATAAAATAATTAATAAGCCAGATGCCAAAAATGGCACCAGCTAATTCTCCCTGCATTACCACTGTGTATAAGTCCAAGAACTAGTATCTAAGTGTTGAACTTCACCTATGTGAAAAGGAGACAACTGCTAAAAGCATGGACTGGTTTTCAGGTGTGGTCTGAGGGTACTCGGAAGCCACAGATGTTAGTCTGTGAAAGGTAACTCTGAGAAATGGCTTGTGTCAATGGAGGGATCTACACATCTTTCAGAGTTGGGGGGGGGGGAAGACTGTACATCACTGGCCTAGCCATGTCCAGCTTGGAAGGTGGTGGTGAGTGTGCATGCCAAGGATCTGGTCTGGTGTTTGTGTAGGCACCAGTTAATCCCTGACACAACCTTGTTCTCTGTATTTTGTGTGTGTGATTTTTCTATTGAAGCAAGCATGTTTGGGCAGATCTTCAGCACCATCAGTTGCCATAGCTCCCCTGGGAAAGCAGCGGCTCCTTTGTGGGGTAGCCCCCATACTGGGTGTGCCCTGCTGGCCTCTCTTCACCCTTGGTTTACCTCCTCCTCTCCTCTTCCTCACAGCATCTGTGTTTGGATGCTGAGAGGCAGGGACAGGGCTTCAAAAAGCTGGCTCAGCAGAGGAGGTGGAGAGCCAGCTGATGCCAGTATTAATATTCTTTCAAAATTGATGGATGAGATGATTATAAAATTGCAGAGGGAAGTGAAACTTAGCGGAAGCCATGTTTTAATTGCATTTTGGATTTTCCTCAGCAGCCAGCCTCTGAGGTGCAGGACAGATCGAGCCATTTTGTGAGGATGTTGATGCAAACTGCACAATATATTGTTTCTAAGAAAGAAAAAGAAAAAGCTGGGGCCAGTCTGTTTTTCACACTCTGGTGCTCTCAGTCTTCCTCAGTTGTACTGCATGGTATCATGCTGTGTCTAGACAGTGAATCAGACCTGAAATACTGTCTTGATGCAGCTAGAGAGAAAAAGAGCCTATTGCAAGTGTCCTTGGTGTTAAGGTGCCCAAGCCTGTGAGGGGTATTTAGGTGCTGGACTTTAAGTTTCCCCTGTCTGCCTTTTATTACTGCAGAGAGGAATGAGGATGCTGGAGCCATTTGGCTTGCGGTGACTTGCAGCGTGGGTCCTTGTTTCCTCCCCGCTGCATGCCAGCCTTCTGGCAACTGATGCCTGCTTGCCTCTAACCTGGAGAAAGATCCCTTTTCAGCTGATGAAGGCCCCTGCTCAGTCTGTGAGTAGCATTCCAAAATGGATGGCCTGCCTTACAGTGGAAGGGTTCTTGCACTTCAGTTTACATACTTCTTTCTAGTTTTCCTTGTTATTACTCTTTGTTTCTGGTAGGAGGAACAGCTTCCTGGATCCCTGGTCTGTCTGCACTGAATGTCAGGTGTGGACACATCATTCATGAGCAGGGATAGAGGCTGAATGTATGCTGCACCCTTCGGGGTTGTTTCTGCCCTGGTTGTGTCTATGGCTGAGCTGCTGTCACTGGTACAGCTACCTTTGCTTCATGGGTCCCTTTTGAACCCTGCAGTATGTAGAGAAGGACCAGCAAGCATGCAGTGAAGTGTGCTTTTAGGCTGCTCATGAGACACCAGTTCATTTTTAATTTGATGCCTTTGCCAAATGTCATTCAATAATTTTGGTAGGTTGGCTTGCATGACTAGAGTGTCTTTGTGCCATGCATTGTGCAGTCTTGATAGCCGCTGTGGTCAAACACTTTCCTCTGAGTAGAAGTAGTATGTTTAGGTGGCCTGCAAAGCAAAAGAGGAAAGCTATGACAATAGGAAAATAATGATTTTGGGCATACTGGGTGTCGGTGAGCTGGAAGCAGTGGATAGCTAACTTCTAATGAGTGCTGTCTTCAAAATATGGGCCAGATGTTTGTATGCTGCGTGAGGTTTTCTCCTGGACAGGTGTTTTGCTTGAGTGTGCTTCATCCACGATTGGACCAAAAAGCTCTTCACCCAGTTTTGTTTTCCTTCAGGCATTAAGGAAAGCAGTTTTCTTTGTAGCATTTTAATTTGGCCTTTCTTTCCTCTGGGACTAGAACTTCCCTCTGCAGTCCCCTTAACCCAGCCATAACTCTCCCTAATTGTGCATATTTTGAACAAAACATACGTGTAGGTGGTTTAGTTAAGAGAAGAAAGCATTAGCCTTTTCTCTTGACTCCTCCTGCTTTCTCCCGAGTCAAAAGCTGAGGAAGAGACACTGTTCAAGATGTTCCTGCTCAGGAGTGGACTCTTTAATGTCCAAGTCCCACAAGTCCTGGTATCTTCAGCCTTATGCTTCCATCAACTGCAGGTAAAGTTGGATAAGAGGAGGTATGCTCAGGGGCTTGGAGGGCAGCTCTATTTCTAAAAGAGAGTAATTTGGGGTGGAGATGTTCTGCCTGAGTGCTTTTAGCGTGTCTGTTCTCTCCACCTCTCTCATGCCTCTGGAAAATTTTCTGGGGTCTGATGGGAATGTAGAGCTACAGGAGCTGCTTGCTTACTCCGTGGTACAGTGGCTACAATCCGAGTGGCGAGGTTCAAAAGTTATTCCCTCTTGCTGTGTTTCCTGCTCTGATGTTGGTTGGTATTTTGATGGCTTCAAGCTAACACGAGGGAAAGTAGCACGCTAAAAAGCTGGACTGCTGTTGGGAGGAAGTTTCTTCTGTTCTCAAAGCTGGTGTCCTTGCAAGGTGGTAAAATGGGTTTGTGAGGTGTGGTTGCAATCCCTGTGAGTTATAGAGGTGCCTTTGCTGAGCAGGTGGCAAGTAATGAAGGTGAACAGCAGATCACGACAGCCTTCTGACATCCTGAAAGAGCTGAAGTCTTTGTGGTGTTTACTCTGAAAATATTCTCTCTGCCTTTTCAGAAGCACATTGTTTACATGCGCACAAACTTTGGGGTTTTGCAGTGTATGCACTTGCGTTTTTTGTGCTTTGAACACAGCTGGTAATGCTGATAGGAGTATTTCTATTGTACAAACACTTGCTGCTTAGAAGGTAGAAATTGCTGAGAGTGGCACTGGAAGCCCAGCAATTCTCCCTTCAGCAAGGAAGGGAGCTGCTGGCAGCTGAGCTGTGCTCGGCAATGCATGCGTGTGTGCTCACAGCAGGACTGGGGGTGCTGAAGTGCTGGTGTTGTTATCTGGATGTTTAAATTCCTTAAGTTTATTTTTTTTTTTTCCTAGCAATACTTTCCAAATATAATTATTTAAAAGTATAAACCTCAATAATGCTATTTTGCAGATGCTTGGGAGCCTGTTTTCTTCCTTTCGCCATGGTAGATCTGTTAACGTCAGTGACTACAGCTTGAAGTAGCTTGTCCAGGTATAACTTGTCTTCACTTTTGTGGGATTAAGGCTTGTATGGTACTCTTTGACCCGATTGTTGCAGAATTTCCTTCTGTTTACTGTACTGTTCTGTATGCCAGTTTCCCTGTAAATGTTATGAGAATGGGGAGTATGGGCCTGATGCCAAGGATAAGGGGCTAAGAAATATGCATATCTTTTTATTTTGGAACTCTTGTGATCTGTGCTTGTCTGGCAGGGTGGTAATGAAGTTTCACAGAAGAATGCCTTTTTCATCATTTGATTTCAAAGTGCTCTAACAGGGTCCATCCTCAGCTCCAGGCATGACAAGCAACACACCAGAGCCAGGGTCCATCCAGCAGCAGGAGATGGGGACGGAGATGGAGCTAGGGACATTGCTGCAGGCATGAGCCTGAGGCCCATCCAGGGACAGGACTGGAGAACAACAGTGCTGTGGCATCCTTGCAGCAGGGAGTGATGGGCGGGGGGGGGGGGGGGGGGCTAAAACAAGGTCCTGTTTCTATTTTTTGAGTGCCAGTCTAGTGCTCTAGCCATTTTGTTCTGTTGCTTATTCAGTGTTTCGTTTTAGGAGGCCTGAAGGTATATTGCTGTAGCTGAACAATGACTCCTCCTTGAGATCACTGCATTTGCAGTATCTGGCTGTTCCGTGTGTGCAGAGCGGGGGACAGAAGTGCTTGTTAGCCTTTATGGTAGCTGAGGGATCACTTAGGCTCCCGATACATGGCTGTGCTCAGCCAGCTGCTGCAGAGTGACGTGTCTGGTGTCATCATGCTGATGAAATTTCAGAGAGACCTGGCAGCTTTTGCATCCAGGGCTGTGCAACCTAAGGGCATATTTAAGCCAGAGAAGATGCTTGATGGGAGGCCAAGATGGATATCTACGTTACTGATGAGATGATTAATAGGCTGTGTTCATGGTTCTCATTAGAGACCTCTGGAAGACTGGAATCAAACAGAGAGGGTGTATGTATATGTATATATGTGTGTGTGTGTGTGTAATTTGTGAGGTCTGCTGCACAAACCTCTTAATATTCTTATTTGTCACCTTCCACACAGGGGAGTGGGGAAAGGAAGCTGGAAAATGCAAATCATGTTGTGTGCTCTCAAACAGAAACAAAGGTGGCTGTATCATGCTTTCCGAAGAGGCTCAGTGCTCCTGGGTGCTGATGTCACCGTGGATCATCAGCAGGGCCAGTGCAGGAAGAGTGCAGGGGGATCTGATTTTCATACCCTCTGATGTTAGTTTAGAATTGATAATTAGCTTCCTTTATATGGAAATATCTTTATAGGTGAAATAAATCGAAGGACCAGGTTCTTAGCCCAAATCTGTTTTCAGTATTTGTTGCGTGCTCAGCTGACTTGAGTTCAAACAGAAAACGCTATTTCCCAAGCCAGAAAACTTCCAAGAAAAAAATGTATTCCACCTGCTTTTTACATTTAAAAGCCAAATATTAAAAGATCCCTCTTCTCTACTTCCTTCTCTCACCCTCTTTCTTCAACCTTTTATCACTGAGAGAAACGTAGAAGGAAAAAAAAGATTGTGTGGATTCTCATACATGCACGTATGGAGGAAAGCCCAAAATACATGGATATTGTTGACTTAACACAAAAAGGCTGGTGAAAATGAGTGATTTATGTGAACTTATTTTTACGAAAAACATGCATTTAGTAACTCGCAGTGACTTTGCAAGTTAATTCTATTTTGTATTCTGGAGGTACATAAACATAGCTTTGAATCTCCATTTTTTTGCCCTTGCTTATCCTTTTTTAACTACAACACAGTTGCATTGATTTAAAACTAGTTTAGGGTATTGGACAGCCATGTCCAAATATTTCTCTATTAGCTCACTACCTCTTGTTTAATATTTGTTAGCACCACAGGTGGTGGCAACTCCCATCTCCAAAGTGTGCCGTGCACTTCTTTGAGTGGCCTGACCTGCCTGCTGTTTCACTTTCCCTGCATCCCAGTTCAGGAGCCTTTCTTCTCCATTTTGTTCATAATGCGTGGGTCTGAGCAAAAGCCAGCAGCTGCATTCTGAGAATTCATTGGTATGATATGCTGCATACTCTCTAGATGTATCAGCTTCCCTCTTTTCCAAATCAGATTAAAGAGGATAAGGTGCAGATTCTGTTTGATTTCAGCATGGCTAGCTTCTTCAGTAGAAGATGCGAGGAACATATGCAGTCATCCAGGTGGATGAAAGCATTAACGTTGTTTCAGTAATGTCACACATGACAGAAATTCTAGCCTTCTGTGTGAAATAAATGTGTCTCTTCCAGGAGAAGAATATCCTTGACAGTACTTTTAAAAGCTTTTGGGACATTGTGGGTTAAATAAATACCTCTGACCACATTACCTTTTTCTTTTCTTGTCGCTTTTCTGATTGCAGACAAGATATGCGGGCAAGAAGCAAAAGAAAAACAAAAGTCAGATAAGGGAGCAGCTAGTGTGTTTGGGGTTTTGTTTGGTTTACTTCTTTAGTGCATCTTTCTTGTCTCCATCTGGTTCCTGGCAGTGTTTTGTGACCTCCACTGGATTCCATCAGTGTTCTCCACTCGGAGCCCCCCAGAATAGGTAGAAAGCTACAAGCTTTCTACTGAAAGTGCTTAACTGCCCAAAAGGAGCGGCATCTAGCAGCAGCTCTTCCTCTTTTCTCCCATGTTGGTGAACATTGTGGGGAATTGTTTAAACCATTTGAACTTTACTGCAAAATCTTCAACATTTGGAGATAATTACAAGGAGGACTGACCACTACTGTTCCTTCTTAGGACACTCCTGCATTCGCTGCTGGCCTTATTTTAGTACATTTTAAAAGGTTTTGAAGATCAGCTTCACCTGGAAAGAAAGCTGTGGTTTGGTTGTAGTGCATTATTCTCATGTATCAGGATACATGCGTTTAAACTCTGAAGCTTGAATATTCTTGGAACATATTTGAAGTGAAACCTGGAGTCACTTACACGTTAGCTGAAGAAGAAAACATCTTGGGCCACTGCAAAAATCGTAAACAGAAGAAATACAGGTTTTGTAATTCTTTAGTGCTGCATTAAAGGAAACTGCTGAACATGTTTCCTTGGTAAGCAGCCAGTTTGTGAACTGTATTTTGGTACTATTTTTGTGAATGTCCTCAATTCATCAGCTCCTGTTCTAAGATTGATTGCCGGCACCTTACCTTCTGCAACCAAAAAGTGAGAAGAGGCCTGTAGGAGTAGCAATTTCAGGAGATTGTTTGGAATCTCAAACTGCTTATTAGGTTTGTTTGAATTATCGGGTGTTGTATTTGGTTCCTAGTATTTTGTTTCAGAAGTACATAATATATAAATTTGATTAAATAGTGCTCATACACTTTCCATCAGTCTTTTGGCTGGATTTTCTAGCTTCTTAAAGCAAAAAAACTCCAGCTATTGGCAAAATCTTTTCCTATATATGTCTTTCCTATGAAAAGCTGGTGCAAAATAGTTCTGTTCTAGCAAAGGGAAAGACTAGTAGGTGGGCTGCACCTCCCAGATCCGTACAGGTCTCTGTGCCAGTTTGAGAAGGCAAACACGAATTTGCCATTCCTTCATCACAGTTCAAAAGTTTCTCTTTCACTGTGGCTTGGTTGCAACTGCACAGCCTGCTTAAAGACCTCACATCAGTAGAGGAAGGCAAAAATGTTGCATCCACCTGTCCTTACATGTTAAGAAAGGGTGCTTGGCATCCAGGAGGTACAAACACCATCCTGCAACCCCAGGAAAGCTAGAGAAGCAGTGGCCTGAAGTCTGTACATTGCCAGCTTCCTATGTCTTAAGATTGCAGTGGCTGTTTGGAAGCAGTGAAAACAGATGGCCATGTGCCCAGTGCAAGAAATTATTAACTCCACTGTATTTCTTTTCATAGCGAAATCACATTTTCACTTCTCCACTAGAGATACTTTAGCAGGATACAAACCCAACAAAGCATTTATTTTTGTGGACATAGTGACTGGCACAGATGCGATGAAACTAGCTACTTTCTTGATAAAAGCAGCCTGAGCTGTTAATACTGCAGTTTTGCATCCTCTCTAAGGAAATTTGGCAGTTAAGCTGTAGTGGATGGACATTGTATTTCTTTATGCTCCAGACTGACATTGCAGTGCAGGAAAAGGTATGTTGGACAGGCATAGCTTTAGCAAAGTTACATGACCGTGATTTTGGAGTAAACCATGGGATTAGTAACTACCTAGATAATAGAGTATTATTTGATGGCAACTTGATTTCACTTTTTACTGACTTAGAAATATGAACACTTAAGATTTGAGTCATATTTTTAGAGGTGTTTTAACAGGTCTTTGAAAATTATGGGTGCATCTCACTGCATTCAAGTTAATATGCATGTAAAAGTTTGAGAGCACTAAGGCTGTTTGCTTGTGAATTGGGGAGTTAGTGACTTGGCTTCCTGCATTTTGTGTTTGCATGCAAAATAATTTGCCCTAGCAGTAAACCATTCCGTGTGCTTACAGCTTGTGTTATAAGTAATCTTCATGCAAACAAATTAGATCTCGGAAACGTAGGAGGCCATGTAGGTAAGACTGGATACTTGCTGGAGGCTGCTAGATTGTGTCTTGTCTTAAAAACAGAAGGGTTGAAAAAAGACTGAGTGGAGAGGGTGGGGTGACCTGGTTATTGTAGTTAGGATCCAGTCCACTTCAATTAATGCAGGGCACTGTTGATGTTAGAGAATTATGCAGGGCTCTGTTTCAACTGGTCTCCGAAATGACTCAGTGTAAGAACTGACAGTGAGGTCATGTGGATCTTTTTTTTTAAGTAGACCTGTTTGACTAATGAGGCTGTTATGTGGCCTAGTATTAGTTAAGCATGCCCAGAGTTACTGCTAAGAGTTCAACCTTTAATTTTCTGCCAGAAGCAACTTCCCTTCAAGATTCAGAGATGTACAGCAGTTGTCATTAGAGATTGTTACATATTAAACCCCAAAGCGCTGTAGAAATTATGGGGGCAGGAAAGACACTGCAGAAAGTAGGAGGGGAATTAATTATATGACAAGAGCCATACTGAACAAGTGGATGGCTTAGCACTCAGTGTCACAGGGAGAAGATTAATTGTATTGGTGTTTAGTAACTACTTTCACCAAGTCTGTTTATGTGCATATAATGTACGTATAAAAATTGCTGCTGCTCTAGTTATGTATAATGGCTTATTACGTAGTTGTTTGAACAAGGCGACAGAGAAAGTAAAACTTCCAGACTCGTATTTCTTTTGCTCATTACAAATATTCAGTTCCTCCCTCTCCACCCCCAGGCACTCGAAAAGTTGCTTTCGCCTTATCTATATCGCACTTGCTTCCTGCTTGCTCTCCGTCCCTGCCCCCCACCTCTTGTTCCTGCCCTAGCCTCCAGCTCCCATAGGGAGTCCGATGCCTTTTGTCCTGCTTTCTGCATCCTCTACATACTCTTCTTCTTAATCTTCAGTAATGCACAAATAAGACACTTTTTTAGTTTCTCCTTAATTTCTGCAGCATATCTTAGAAATACTATTTTTTAAATAAGAAGGTCTTTGTCCAGTGTTTCTTTCCAGATGCTGTAGAGGATGGGTAGAGACTTTGGGAAAAGAGTATTTCTACAAGGAAACTCTCTTCTTATAAATCTTGCCAGCCTTTACACGGCAGAAAAAAAATCTTCATCTCTGCAGGTAGATGAAGAGATGAAGGTTTTACTGAGGTTGAGACTCTTAGGTTTTATGTATAGAAAGTTTGTGTCCAGTAAGGAAAAGCCTTCATCTGTCATATCCTGTTGACAGCTTAAAGTCCAGAGGCAAAAATCATGTCTGGAAGTGTAAGGCTGGGTGCCTGTGAGAGGGCGCTGTCTATCACAGCTGTGACTTTGTACTGCTAAACCTGGGGCAATATGATCAGATTAGCCAGGACATGCAGTGGGATATTTTTTGTGATTTTTTTTTCTTTTTTTTTTTATGATTGCAGGAAGACACGAGAACTGCCTGACTGGTCAGAAAATGTCCTGGACAAACACATTTAACCAGCAAAAGGAGTTTGAAGCGATGCTATGTTGTATGCCAGTGCTATCTGTGTATGTGTGTTGGGTGCCTCAAGACCAACTTTGCTTTTCTGTGACACACCGGCCATGCACCAGCAAAGGTTGCAGGGTGGCACTGAGGGTCTGTTTATCCCAGCATGATGTTCAGCTTGGTGTTCTTCCCCAGAACAAGAGTGGCTTGTTTTTCTAGTTGGGTTTTGAGCCAGAAGAAGTAACCCCCACCATCAGTGAACCACTGGGTGGGTGTCTGTCATACATGACATGTCCCAAGACACCACACGCCCACTTAGCAGTGGTGGCCAGTGTTGAGTCCAAAGCAGTTCTTTCCCTTTGAACTGTGCCTGATGTTGCTGCAGCCTAAGCTAAACACCAGCCTCGTGAATACTAGCTTAGCTAACTTGTTCTCTGGGACTATTCAGTCTTCCCAGTCAAGGCAAACATCACTTCATTCCCCCTCTCCAAAGACAGTTGTTACTTGCTGCTTTTTTCTTTTTTTCCTCCAGGATTAACAACTCTCAGTGGCACCTCTGGTAATGTTTCATTGCCATGCAAAAGGAGGAAAGCACTTTGTCAGCAGCCTACTTCAGGCACAGAAATTGATATCTGTGAGAACCATATGTACAGAGCAGCAATTACTCAGATCATCAATATTTATACAGCAGATAATAGTCATCATGGACAAGATGAATATTGTCACAACAGCAGTAGCTGCTTGGGGGGGGGGGAATGTAAAAAATAATTGCTGCTTTTTTTTTTAAACAGGGTAATTATTTAACTTTCAAGTAATTGGTGAAGATAGCTTGAAGTCTGAATTAGATGTTCAATGGGAGTTCATCTGCTTCTAGGAAGTAAAGGAAATGCCCCTCCTCTCTACCCTCATGTCACATGGTGAAAACTGCCTGGGATGTCATCCTTTACTCTAGTGGCTTTTTCTGAAGGCAATGCTGGTGCCAGTTGCTGAATGAGGAATCATAAGCCATAACAAACAAATCAACCAACAAGAATAAGCAGCTTTGTTTGCAAACAAATTTTTGTTAAGTCTGATGTGGATGGACGTGCATTTGTGTTGAGATGGTGGTATGGTTGCGCGTGCTTTGATTTTAAAAGCCATACCTCAGTGCCTGTGGAAGGTAGCCATCCTTAGGATGTGCTCTTTCCCAGAGCTTTCCAGCATCCTACCCACTAGCTGATGTGACACTGGTTGCCTTGGTGGTGCCTGGCTGGACAGGCAGCCCAGTGAGTCCCTGTCCTGGCTCCCACTTGGCAGATGTCTGGAGGGACAGGGTTATGGCTTCCTGTTTGTGCAGGAGATGCAACTCCAGATTTCTGCAAAGAGAACAACTCCTTCCACCCACCTTTTTTAACCTTTATATGTTGGTGTGATTATTTGGAGGCTTACCTTCACTGGCAAGAAAGTCTGCTGGGTTGCCCTGTTTTTGAGAAGTATTGAATTGAGAGCTACCTGTGTGTGATCTGTTTGCTATGGAACAATTTACTTGCTGACTTTTGTCTTCTGCTCGTGAAATGCCTCTGCATAGTTCCATTCTTTCTTTGTACTGACCTACTCTTCAGACATGACTATCTGAGTACTTGAACTCTTGCACGCCCCTGGACTTCTGTCACTTGAGGGAAAACAGTGGCTAGCAGCATGCAGCACTTGATGTTCAGAGTTTAGCTCAGTTGGGTTGGCTATCATTTACAATCTCACAGCTCAAAGTTTTCAAAACACTGAAGCAACTCAAGAACATTTTCAACTGAGTAAATCCACAGAAGACCTATGAAACTTCCAGGCACTGTATTTTATGGGAAATTCTATTCAGATAATGAGGCTTCTTGTGTGATGCCAGGAGAAAAATTGACCTAAGAGTGAAACTTTCAAAAGCCGACATCCCAAATGATGGGCTGGCTACACAAGGAAGAATCAAAAGGAATTCTTTTAAGCTGGCAGCCCTCTTCCAGGAAAATGTCATAAACTGCTCCTTTTTATTCTTTTCTGGAGTTACATACCTTCTGCTGAGATGTAAGCAGTGGAGAAGATAGTGGCTTTTCTCTCCGAGTTAGGTCTGATACTCAGCCTGAAGGAAGTGGAGACTCTGCTCCCACCTTTGTTTGGCAGCATTTGATCAGGGATCTTTTTCTCTTCAGGTAAACCCATTAGTTTGCGTGGATTCTAGCCCTTCTCAAAATAAATTTTTAATATAAAATAATTAAACATTCATTGGAGCAGGGACAGGAACCCAGGTCTCTGCCTTTCCCTCATACTTGCTTTTCCTTTGTGACCTCAATATTGAATTGCACACTTCAAAGTGGAATGGGGTCAGCGGAGGCATTGGAAGAGCTCTGCTGAGCTATTGAAATTGCTGGTACTTAAAACTTTCATCCGTGAGAAGGGGAAAGAGCATCATTTTGTCAGATTCACCCATAGTGAATGAAAGTTTCCTTCTGCCATGAGCATACCCAGGTGCCTTTGAATTGAATCTGCCACTGGCATGTGGCTTGGAGAAGTTTGACCCTGTTGCATGCAGATTAATTTGGATGGAAGCCTTGTCTGAAGCTAAATTTAGGCCATCTTAGATCTTCATAGTGCAGGTAAAGTTGAGACATCCAGTAATGGCAGCATTAACATTTCTGATGCTTGTCTCCAGTGCAAAACTCTTAACAGAGATGCTTTCTAAATTGCAGACCACAGACCCAGTATTGAAGCTATGCATTTTAAAACTTTTTTAAAATAGTACCTCCAATTTTTTTTTACTGATGGTGATGTAATCTTTGCTCAGAATTTAAGCTTGCAGTCAACAGACTTACTTTCTCAGTTACCTTATCCAGGTCCCTTTGAGGCAGCCACTGTTGAGCCTGTGGGGGAACTATCTGCAAAAGTGTTAATTCAAACATTTTCTTATGCCTGAAGGTTCTGCCTTGATGAAAGTAAGTACTATACAGTTCTTTGAAGAGATCACTGCAGTTCATAAGCCAGCCCATTAGGTAGGTGAGCTAGCCCTGTGAAAGATCCATGCTTGACACATTCATTGCTCATTCAGTTATATTGCAGCAGAGAATAGGCTTTTGTCAGAGCAAGGAGAAGAACAAGGGGCCATTGAAGGGGGCAGGTAATCAGCACTACTGATGTTCCAGATTATTGAATTGTGTTGAAATAATGAGTTTTTTCATCAGCCTACATTGTTTCTACCTAACTCTCTGAGTCTTTCTTCATTGCAGTAACTTGCAAAGGGATCTGGAGATTATGAGGCTGCTTCCCTTCACATTTAACAGGGTACCATGTTTTGGCTGTCTTGTGCCATTGCAAAGTGCAGGCACACTTATATTCTAATTTGAGGATGAGATGTTTGCAGTTTGAGGACATGGGGTGCTTGCAGTATCTGGAAACCATGTTCCCCTCTAATTCTATTTCACTTCAGTGTCAAGCACTGGGGCACTGATGTGAAGACTGTAGATGAAGATTTTTCTGTCGCACTGATGCATCCTAGCTAAAGCCTAAAGGGGTTTTGACAAATAAGGGTTTAAAGATGAGTCCTGTGTACTAGTTTTCTTTTAAACTAAAAATGGGAAGAATTGTGTGGTGAAGGATGGAGTTGGCGATATGTTGGTATGAAGCCTCAAGAAGCTTCTTGGAGCAGAAAAATCATTCCTCTTTACCTTTTAAGCAGTAAAAGGCTGAATGTTTACCTCTTCAGTTGGTTTTACAGATGTTTTGAAGACTTATCCTACGTTACCTTCTGGAAGTTTTTCCTACATCCTTATTTTGTCAGAGTTCATTGGTTTATTTCATGCAGGGGAAAAAACCCTGCCCAAATCTCCTTTCACTTAAAAATAGTGAAGGCTTCTTAGGTTTAGGAATGCTAGCACCATCTCTTATGGGAACTGTAATTAGCATGCTTTGTTTTCCCATTCTTCCCTTGGGGCTTGGCTTTATGGCTGGTTTCCATCTCTTGTTTTCATGTTGAGTTGCTATTGTGGTTATGGGAGATGTAATCTAGCTAGGAAACCCAATCCTTGTTGAAGAATGGGAACATGGGTCATCCCATATGGAAGTACCTTGAGCTGCTATAAGCAACACTTCATCATCCTGAAAACGAGTTGCCAACTTTCAGTATTTAGTAGAAAGGCAGCACCTCTCTTAGTACAGGTGACATAGCTGTTTGTTTCACTTTATTCATAAGGTGTTCCTCTTAAACCCCAAATTTCCATCAGAACTCACTTTTATTTTATTTTAAATCAGCATCTTGGCTTTGTCTCCAAGCACAAAATATATATATTTTTTTTTTTTTTTTTTAGGGTTTTGCCCTGCAGTAATAAGTGTGATACTTGGATACTGGAATTTGTTGTAAGTTCAAAGCACAGCAAGTAGGAGATGGTGATTTGATTTGCCCGAGGAGACTTCTCTTTCTGGTCTGGCATAAACATTTCTGAAATGTGGATGGAGCTAGACCGGGAATGGGAATAAAGTACTCTTCAAACTCCAGATTTTACTTTCTCAAGTAGATTCCTTTTCTAAAATAGCAATCAAGAGAAATGCTGGAGCTGTGTTAATTGAACAGACTGATCTATAGTCTGTCTGTGGAGTAGGAAATGTCAGTGTATGAAGTTTAAGCATGTATAGAAGACAGAATTTGGTCAGTAATAGCAAACTGATGAGAAGTCAGTGAAGTTGCATTGTTCCTGAATTTGCTTTTAATAAGCAGTGAGCTATTTATGAGGACACTTTTGCTACTGTTTGGCTGATTAGCACCTCCCCTTCAGAAAACCTCGTTGACTCTCCCAAAAGCCTTGAAGTGTACAGAAACTTGTTCTTTTTATTCTCTCAATTTCACAGTGTCTTCTGCCTTTCATCTTGCAGCCTCTTGCGAGCTGTCACTCTCCCTGTTTGTATGATTTCCACAGAAAACACAAGTAATAGCAGCTGAAAGGGAATTTTAAAATAGAGCAGGATATCTAGGACATGTCAGGGTGATTGTGAGGTGGTCTTAAAAATCTACTGGTTGCCTGCTTTGAAGGTTTTTTTTCAGAATGTTTTGAGATTTAACCTCTCTCTTCTTTATCTGAAGTTTTGGAAGAGCAGCAAGGCTTTCCTCTTAAACGCAACATGGCACATATGTTGGCATCTGGGGGAAGCAAGACTGTTTGTGAGATGATCAGTTCTCCACTGGAAGGATTTCTGGGCAAGTCTGGTCCAAATCGGCTCTTGAGAACAGTTACTGTGAAAGAGGCTTTACCCAGCTCAGTAGAACTGCTTCACATGGAGGGGTCACTGGCACAAAGAAATGCTGGTTTTCACAGATTTAAAAAAATAAGGCTTTAAAGAAATTGTTTATTCACCTGAAAAGTCCTTGTGATATATATATATACATTTAACCCATATATAAATTTATAATTCTTTTCATACATAAATCAATTCATGTTATCATACTGGTGCTCCCGAACATCCTTGCACAAAGGGCAAAGTAAGTCACTGAAAAGGATTTAGGTGAGGACATGTGAATTTTAAGAGGACATAGTGCCCATGTTTGAAAGTAGTTTTTAGGGAAAAAACTTACACTGACTTACCTCTTAGAAGCCTGATACACAGTCCAGGTCTCCTCTCTTCTGACGCAGCCACACCCCTGACACAAGAAGGTGAGAGCTAAGTGCTGCTCATGGTCTCACTTCGGTAATGAAGAGCTTTTAAAGAAAGGTTACAACTTTGTGACATGTTTGCTTTTTTCCTTATGTCCACTTGTCTGGAATGAACATGACACAAAAATGAGTGGTGGTGTTTGATGAAGGGCAATGGAAACGACCCCACAACTGCAGGAACTTTACAGTTTTAAGTCCTTTGAGGGGCTACAGCAAAAAACCCTTTGAATTTTGGGGGACCTAATTTTTTCCAGTGTTACAGGGTTACATTCCTGTGCTACTCCTTCCTCTGCTGGCTGAAACTCATCCATGTGGTCCATTGGAAAAACTCTTTCTCTTTTTATGTTAATGGGTGGTTATGAAACAAGAACAAAAAAAAATAAAAATCATGCACTGGCAATTTAATGAAGTGATAAGAATCTACAACTTCGTCCTTTAATAAGATTATAAACCTGTTGCATTTTCAATTATGAGAGACACAGAGGTGGCTGTAAGCCCTACATGTACAATTTTAAATCAGGATATCATGCTGAGTTGGATTTTTTTTCAGTTCACTCCTTCAGAGGTCTCATTTTCTAGCACTTATTTCTTTTGTGTATTTTTAAACAATATACAATAGCATTTTTCCACCAGCAAAGGCCTGTGCATTTCAGTGACCTTTCCTGCTTGCTTTAGAGGGGTTATGCAATCAGACATAAGGGAGTGAAAATATTTAATGATTCTTTTCCTTAAAAGGTCTTATGCCTCTATTCTTGTGGTTATAGTACTCACATTTAAGCAGTTGTGTTTTGCACCTGCATACTTACATGCACTTGAATACTTACTTTGAGGAGCCTGAAAGTCTACTTCCAAAATCTGAGCTGATTTGCAAAAATTGAGCTAAAAAAAGAATATAGTGGATATGGTCATCTTTAAAGCAAGTAGCTTTTCTTCTAATGTTCCTTTCCTCCTTGGTCCCTCACCTCCACTTAAATATGCTAAATTTAAATTCAGAACTTAAGAAGGAATGATCTTTTTCATATCTGTTGACTAGTCAGTGATGGAGAACTTAGCGTTCCTTTGTGAGCCCACTTACAATGCACTTGCCTGCATTTTGTTGCGTGGGAACTTTAAAGCTCCTGACAGTCCACCCTAACTGAAGTCTTTTCTATCAAGAGAGGTTGCTTATAAGAGAAGGTGGCTTGTTGTACCTAATAGTGAGAAGAACACTAGAGGCTGGGCACCCCTTAGTTCAGCTTCCCAATCAGGAGTGTGGAATATCAGGAGAGCACCTATGCATCTGTTCAGGGAGACACATGGTAACAGGAGATCCAAATAAATTCTTACAGCAACAACTGTGCAACTTGTTGACTTGGAAATACTTCTGCTGTCTCATGGTAATCACCAGACAGTTACATGCTTCATTGCTGCTCAGTATTAAGACTGGTGTGGGTTACAGTTATGTTCATGACTTGCTTTTCCACAGGTGAATACTTTGTGAACCAAATCCACGTTGGGATAGCAGCTAGGAAGGCAGAATAAGCAAGAACATTCTTTGCCTCATTCTTCTTTCCATGCCATCAGCCCATCCTTGTGTATTAAAAGATAACTTGCTCTGAAACCATGTATTGAGCAAATTTGTGCAGTGCATATAGTACATAAACCTTGAGTTGAATTGTGCTTTTTCCAGTAGGTGATGTCAGTGAACCATCAAGATAAAAGTTATGTATTTATTGCTTGTGAGGAAATGAGTTTGGAATGTGGCATTGATTGTGGACCCCCTTCTGCAAGAAGGGCACATTACTTTGCCTGACTTTATTTGGTTTGTGTGTTGCTCATGTCCACACAGACAACCTTAAACTTTTCCACTTTGTGTCTATTAATACTTGGGGTCAATTTGGGGCAGGAGAAATTGCAGCGGTCCGCTGACATATACAGGAGAGGAAAGGAAATTGCTTTCTGACAGATCTTTTCGGCTATTTCCACATGAGCAGATGGATCCCATGGTACAGGTTTGCCTTTAAGGAGAGTTTAAGCAGGAAATACTTGTGTTTTTTTTTTTTTTTTTGCAAGAAGACTGGTTATTTTCTGTATTTGTACAGTTTTTAGGTAATTCATAGAGACTTCTGATAAAAATGCAGGCTTTTTTTCCACCTAGTTGTATGACCTTCAGTGTTTTAAACTCTCACCTTTTCCAGGGGAGAGAGATGTGGGAATTGCATCTTTGTCAACTGAGCCAGTCCATTACCTCTCTAAATGCTGACCGCTATGCTTAATGCCTGGAGCTGGAGAAAGCAACTGGCTTCCACAGTTTTCTTTAAAATGTTATTTTCCAAGGTAACAGCACAATCTTCCTAAGTTTAAGGAAGATCTTCCTATCTCCCCCAGGTTGAAGTGTTTTAAAGGGCCTCATTTTGAAGACTGAATGATTGGGAGGGTTTCTAGCAGCAGCAAAGCAAGCAATTGCTCTTACAGCTGGATGAGAGTTGCAAAGACCAGGTGAACTACAGCCCTTTGAGGTGGATTTCTTCTGGCTGACAAGACTATAAGACAGAGGCTTTCCTGACAATCGTTTGACCAGAAGAAGTGCTGGTTTGACGGACTTGGCTGTGGGAGGAGCATGAGTGTTGGGGCAAGGCAGAAGGCTCATTGGAGGGTGGCAGTCTGCAACATGCCTCAAGAAACCTTGAAGGTGAGCACTGTAGCTGTTATGTATGTGTAGAGCATACCTGAAAATAAACAGAAGGGAAACTGGTTTCCTAATCGTTAGGGTATGTTTGTAGTTGTTGGTGCTGTCTTTAAGCAGTAAAGGCCAGCATTATTTTAGATATATCCCAGCTTGCTTGTTTGGAAGAGTGCAGGAGAGTGGCAGGAGGCAGCAAGGCACTGCCACCTCTCCAAGCACAATATGGGAAGCAACTCCAGCTGTCCTGTGAGAGCTTTTTCCTCAGACAGGGAGCAAGTAATGAGCTCAGTGCTTTTGGTGTGCTGGTGCTCTACTCTCCTTTAGACATGACCATGCAAAGTGCAGCTCACCCTACCGATGCAGCCCATCCAGCACCAGGATAATCTTATGGTGCTGCAAGCTGGTACTGACAGCATTTGTCCATGCTGTTTGGGAGTAGGAAAGTGGAGATGGTCATCCTACCTAAACCAAACCTCCTGAAGGGTGCTAAAGCAAGCTAGTGGGACAGCCAAGCAGAACTTTCTTCCTCCTGCAAGCCCTGGTGCGTAACGCTTTATATTCTGGAGTGCCACCTGCTGGCACTTGCTCTTTTCACTTGCTCTTTTCTAGAGGCAGCCGCTCTAGAAGATGAGAGCGCAGAACAAAGAGCGTGGATGTCAGTAATAATAATAGCACTAATTATTTATATTGATCATTACATTATTTTCTTAATTGTCATAGCACTTAAGAACCCTGTTTATTGGCAAAGACCTCACTCTGGCAAGTGTGCTGCAAACTGAGTGTGAAAGAAACTGGCAGAGCCTTCACTGCTTAAAATATACAGGATACAATACGAAGGAGTGCTTTAAAGAATAGAAAATTATTTTTCTAATCCATGCTGTTATTTGGCAAAGTATGAATAG